GAAAAAAGAGCATAATGAAAAAAAAAGATTAAGGAACCTTGTCAACCTGTTCTGATCTACGGCAGTAGTTAGGCTCGGAGACGAAGGGGGTCTGTGTATGTGTATACATGGTGTATTAAGTGCTATATCGATTGCAACTAAGCTCAATAAACTAACGTTCATTTATCTTTTTTTTACAAAGAGCACATTTACGTTACAGTGGTTGATTTATTTGGTAGTTTCTTGTTTTTTTGGATTTATTAATGCAATGCAATGTTTTTGCAGGCGAGTTGGCCCAGACCAGACCATGTCCACTCCAGATCTTGTTCCAACTACTCATAAAAGTGGTTTTTGCTGTTAATGACTTTAGTCTTTCATTTTTTATTTTATTTTTTTATTTTTTATTTTTATTCTTAATTTTTATTTTTTATTTTTCATATATTACGAATTTTCATATTCTGTAAATTTAATATTCCGAAGTAAACCAGGATTAAAATGATTGTTTGATTTACAATTAATTTATCCCAAAAAAAAAATAGGATGGCCATTTTAGGCATTAATGTCTGGTATTCAAAATTTGTGAAATCTAAAATATCCTGGAAAATTAAGTTTAAATTGAGTTACTATGGTTTTGTGTGATCGATGCTGGATTAGTAGATTCGTGGAACAATCTAAGAGAAATCTTGGATGAATGATGGTTGGGAGACCTAAGCCCCAAGTTTCCAGAAGAAATTCTGCGCCTATACATTTTTCGAAATGTGTACAAATAACATATAATTAGTTGGCTAAAGGTCGCCTCCTCCTAGTGATTCTGCGGAAATTCTGATAAAGTATTGATTGGCATAATTCCAAAAATAGTAAACATCATAGGAAAAGTAGGTTTAATTAAAAAGATGCATGAAGAGTTTGAAAATTTATAAATTAAAAAACGAACTGAAATAACAAGACCAAATCAAAAAGGCAAAGTTAACAACAAAACAATAACATATTGTTTTACGATAAGAGCTCTTAAATTTGCTCAGGGTCAGGATTCGTGAATCGCTGAATTGCAAAACAGGATGGACTTCGTCACTTCTTGCCCCCCCTACAGGGGGGGCAAGACTTCTTAAAGGGAGTGTTCGCGAAAAATGAAAGGGGGTATAGGCTTAATGCGATAAAAAAGCGCTTTTGATCGCTACTAATCTTACTTCTATCTGTTGAGTCTATAAGGAGAAAATTATTAAAAACGACTAATACCGAAGAACGTAGTGTCCATACAAATTTAGAAAGATGCAACATACGACTTGGACCGTAAAAAAATTTATTTAATTTCAAACACATCATTCAGATATTACAACCTATAGTCATCGATTATCTTTCGCCACATTTTTATATAGTTGATTTTTCATAATATATTTTGATTTTATTTTTTAAAATAATATTTAGCTTACAACTTGTTTTCGAACATTCCTGGAAAATGTTAAAATGTCGTCTTCTTTACCAAAAATCCTCGAAACAGGAATAAATGTTTTTATAAGTAACTCTCAGATCATAACAATTAAAACATTTTATGAAATATCAACTATATATAAATGTGGCGAAAGATAATCGATGACTATAGGGTGTAATATCTGAATGATTTGTTTGAAATTAAATAATTTTTTTACGGTCTAAGTCGTATGTTGCATCTTTCTGAATTTGTATGGACACTAAGTTCTTCGGTATTAGTCGTTTTTAACAATTTTCTCCTTATAGACTCAACAGATAGAAGTAAGATTAGTAGCGATCAAAAGCGCTTTTTTATCGCATTAAGCCTATACCCCCTTTCATTTTTCGCGAACACTCCCTTTAAGGGAGGGGCATGACCCCCCTCAATCAGGCTAAGGGGAGCCTGGCCCCCGGCCTAGTTGCGCGCCTGAATAAAAATAAGACTGTTTCATATACAACAATAAATAAATAAAAATATTCTGTTTTTCCTTCATCATATGTGTTCCAAATGTTCCATGAGTTCATAACATAACTTAATTGTTTCTTTCTATGCCAAATCCGGCAATTGTTACATCGTCTATGCAACATCCGGCCCCTACTGAACGTCTGACCTAATAACTTTCCGACCTACTGCAATATCGGACCTACGCCAGCTGTTTATTTTATTATTATTTGAGGGTTAGGTTAGGTTAAGACAATTTCTGGGCCGAGCGCTTCGGCTAGGACAGGCTAGGGGGCCGAGCGCCGCAGCTAGGACAGGCTAGGGGCCGGGCGCTGCGGCCACAAGTCCATATGGCAGCTGTAATACCACGTGCTAGTAGGTCGGATGTGTAGTATAGCGGATTTGGTGTAGGTCAGAAGTGGAGTATGGCGGATAATAATGTTACATCGTCTATACGCAACATCCCCCCTACTGAACTTCTGACCTACTAACTTTCCGACCTACTGCAATATCGGACCTACGCCAGCTGTTTATTTTAGTATTATTTGAGTGTTAGGTTAGGTTAAGACAATTTCTGGGCCGAGCGCCGCGGCTAGGACAGGCCAGGGGGCCGGGCGCTGCGGCCACAATTCCATGTAGCAGCTGTAATACCACGTGCTAGTAGGTCGGATGTGTAGTGTAGCAGATTTGGCGTAGGTCAGAAGTGGAGTATGACGGATATGTGTAGGTCGAAAAATACACCACCATGGCGGATATGTGTAGGTCGAAAAATACACCACCGCCAAATCCCTTAATATTCCATTAGAAGGCTTCTGAGTTTATTTTAATTGAAGACGATAACCAAAATGCGCGAATTCCGCGTCGTGGAGTTTACATTTATCATGGAGGAGAACATCCCGACAATACAGCTCTTAAGCATGAAAGAGCGCAAAACTGTAGAAATTTGTATTAATTATTGACTTAGTGTCGTGTCTCAAAGAAATAGAAATTCACATTTTTTCATTTTCAGACGGATTTAGGATAAAATGGCCGCCACCGCTGTTACACAATATCAAGATAGACTGGAAAAACTGCTGAGGCAGCCGGGAGCTATAAATGATCTCATGGCGGTATGTAGATATTTGGTTTTAAGCGATTCAACGAAAAAATAACACTTAACTCAACATAATCACAGGGTTTCGTAGAGAGTAAATTATTCATATATCAGAAAATCCTTTCTCTAAAGTATCAACATCACATTATTTTATCATTTGTTATTGTAAATGTAATGTAATGGAAATTTTGAACGTTTAGACTTAATATCCAACGTGGGCACATGTAAATTTAAGGATCATTGCTTGATTTCTCTATTAAAAGCTAACCCTACAAGGTATGACCATCACTGGATATTTAAGAGGAATTAAAAGTTCTGGCCGAAATTATTGATGTTAACTAATAAAGATAAGCATTTCATGGGAATTAAAGACATTTTTGTTTGCTGTTGCTTGGGGTCTGTCCTAGTGAACGATTTTTAGACCCCCCCGTCCCCCCCCCTCCTATCAGTTTTGTACATTACGAAATTAGTTTTTATTTATTATTATTTAGGGTTAGGTTAGGTTAAAACACTTTCTGGGCCGAGCGCTGCGGCCACGGGTTAGGTTAAGTTGAGACACTTTCTGTAAGATCCATGTACAAAATTGATAGGAGGGGGCCTGGGGGGGTCCAAAAATCGTTCTCTAGGAATATACCGTTGCTTGAAAAAAAAATAAGTTAATAATTATATCAAATTATTTTTTTTAGACTGCAGAGAAGAAAACTGGTGTTCAAAGGATTTATCTCGCCTATGGGGTAAAATTTTTATTTAAAAATTTTATTTACATAATAGTTTGGCTTATGTTTAAACTAAAAATTAGAATTAATAAGCGGAACCTAAATTGCTAAATATCAGTCCTAATTTTTAAATAAATTCATTATTAAACTGAGAAAAATCTAAATTTTGCTTTTTACAGTAACATTTTTAGTAAATTAGGAGAAAAATAACTTTCAATTATTTACCCTTTTAATGTATTAGACGAATTCCCTGTTTCTGACAGCTTTGTCCTCTGTTTCTTTTAAATGTTTTTTTTTATTATGAATGAAAGTATTGTTCAGGTGATGAATAAGTTTTTAGCTTTACACTATTTAATTTAATAGATTAACATCAATCTCTGCACACATTTCATTAACTGGCTAACATTAATTCATTTTTATTTAATTTAATTTTAACTCTCTTTATTTATCTAATCCACTAATATTAGGCTCTCGGACTAACCATGCTTTGGCTTGCGTTTGGATTTGGAGCTCAACTCCTTGCTAACTTTATCGGGTAAATTTTATCTTTAAGATAGATAGCTGGGTACTTTTGTATTGGATACCCATCATCCCGATCGTTTGATCTAGATGTCCACGGTGGGCAATTATGAATCTACAATGCACGAGTTTCCACATTTTTCCGGGTATAACATTTATTTTAGATAAACGGAAATCCCTTTCTAAAATTTATCTTCCTAGTCCTTTTAAATCCTTTAAATGTGGCAATAACCGTGTCAACATGTTTTGGCTTGTCTGTCTGTTTATTTTTGGCGGTGTTTGTTTTTATCCTTTTAAATTGAATTAAAGAAATTTGGCCTGAAAATTTTTTTGATTTTTTAATCTCTTGTAGAACTCGAAGAAGTCATTGCGGCTTGAAATTAATGAATTTAGACCGGCCATACACTTGTTTTGTGCCTGATCGGTTGAGCCATTTCTTTCATACGAGCCAATGTGACTCAAATTTTAAGAAAGGTGTTAAACTATCGTTAAAGAATACATCAAAAATTATTTCATCTCGTTTAAGAATTTCCATTATTACATTTGTTCCTCATAAGATTATCATATTATATTTCTAGTAAAGAAGAGGTTTCATATACGGCTTCCTTTCTAACAGAAAACTAAAATGAAACATGTAAAGCTAGTATTAACATTTTTTTAAAGGCCTTGCAACCCCCTGAATCTTTTATAACCCGCCTCCAAATATTTGCTGAATATTACCCCTCACGAAAAATTTTGTATTTTTATATTCTATTTTTTGGTTTGGGTTTTAATTGTAATTAAACGAATCAAGTTTTATGTTTAATAAAAAAACTGAATTTTATTTTTTATTTTCTATAGAACCTGTATGATTTATAAACCCGATTTGTTCATGGTTTGCTAAATATTTTCGCTATTAACAAAACCGGTTTTTTCTTTAATTGTATTTTACACAATCGCTGTGGGTTTCTTTGCTATGATTTTAATATTTTAGACTAAAATTTTGTACTATGTTAACATTTTCATAAAACCAGTTTGTTCTATGTTATATTTTTATGTTCTCTACAAAACCGGTTCGTAAAAGGTTTATTTTTACATCAACACGGTTTGTTAAAGGTTTATATTTTATACAAAACCGGTTTGTTCTTTGTAAAAAACCGACTTAAAAAAGTAAATGTTCTCAATCTAGGTTTGCCTACCCTGCCTACTGTTCCATGAAAGCCCTTGAATCTAAGAATGTAAAAGATGACACGCAGTGGTTGACTTACTGGGTAGTCTTTGCGCTATTCTCAATCTTGGAGTTCTTTGCTGGTAACAACTTTTTTTGTTGTTAAAAGAGATTTTAGGCCTATTTCAAGTCTCTACATTAAAAAAAAAAGAGTGGCATGTCCGATTCACAATGGTTTAAATAGCCTTTGCCTGACTAAGAGTGCACAAGATAAATATGACATTTCTTAGAAAATTTATTTTAACAAATTGTTGCCTTTATTTGGTGAGTTTTGCATTTCTTGTGCAAAAACAATGTAGAAAATTGTCATAGTTGAACACTTTTAAGCTAGTGATATGTAGTAAAACGTTAATAACTTTTCCTGATCATATAAGAGGATCAGATAAAGGTTTTAGAGGTAAAGGTTTAGAGGTAAAGGTTTAGAGATAAAGGTTTAGAGATAAAGGTTTAGAGGGTAACGTTGTGAAATACTTGCGAGTTGTGAAAGAGCACTCAATATTTCAAAATTTAAAATTCAGTATCATTATAATTGTTTTTTTTTTTTTTTTTCTCAGACTAACAATTCTGCGATTAATGATTTAATTTTTTTTGCGCTACGGAAGAAAAAAAGCCCTGCTGAGGTCGAAACTCCATATCCACAGCGGAAACTTGAAACTGCAATTTAAACGACGATTAGATGGCCGCCAGGTGTCTCTGCTCTCGACGTTCCACGTGGGAGAGATACTTAGCGGACAAAAAATCGTTTTAAGTGCATTGTACATAAAACAAATACAAAATATTATAAAATATCAATTATATACGAATGCGTCGAAAAAAATCGATGATAATAGGCCGAAATATCTAAATGATTTGTTTGGAATTAAATAGATTTTTTTATGACCCAAGTCGAATATTGCAATTTTCTGAATTTTTATGGACGCTACTTGGTTAGTTTTTAACAATTTTCTCCATATAAACGCAACAGATAGAAGTAAGATTAGTAGCAAGCACCAAAGAATAGTTTTCGACGAAAGCTTATTTCATTTTTCGCGAACACTCCCTTTAAGAGATTATATGCCTACTCAAATAAACTTAACCGGGTCGTTGGAATACAAAAACATTAATGCTGCCTGAAAATATAAACTAAATGGTTTGATACTAGATATCCTTGTTGGTTGGGTTCCCTTTTACTGGTTGACGAAATGTATCTTCATGGTTTGGTGTATGGCTCCGATTGAGGCAAACGGATCCTTCATCATTTACTCCAGGTTAATCAGAATATTATTAGACAAGGACTGACAAAAACCGACAAAGACTGACATAGACTGACAGACTGACATAGACTGACATAGACTGACATAGACTGACATAGACTGACATAGACTGACATAGACTGACATAGACTGACATAGAATGACATAGACTGACATAGACTGACATAGACTGACATAGACTGACAAAGACTGACAAAGACTGACAAAGACTGACAAAGACTGACAAAGACTGACAAANTAGACTGACATAGACTGACATAGACTGACATAGACTGACATAGACTGACATAGACTGACATAGACTGACATAGACTGACATAGACTGACATAGACTGACATAGACTGACATAGACTGACATAGACTGACATAGACTGACATAGACTGACATAGACTGACATAGACTGACATAGACTGACATAGACTGACATAGACTGACATAGACTGACATAGACTGACATAGACTGACATAGACTGACATAGACTGACATAGACTGACATAGACTGACATAGACTGACATAGACTGTCAAAGACTGTCAAAGTCCGACAATGACTGCCAAAAGACATATAAATATTATCTAGGATAATCCGTCCTGTATTCTTGAAGCATGAAACTAAGCTGGATAACATGGTCAACAAAGCTACTTCCAAGGTAACTCTTAGATATTGATTGATTGAATCAGTGAATGAATGAGTGAAGGAATCAGTGAATGAATGAGTGAATGAATTAGTGATTGAATCGGTGATTGAATCGGTGATTGAATCAGTGATTGAATCAGCGATTGAATCAGCGATTGAATCAGCGATTGAATCAGCGATTAAATCTGCGATTAAATCTGCGATTAAATCGGCGATTAAATCAGTGATTGAATCAGTGATTGAATCAGTGATTGAATCGGTGATTGAATCAATGATCAAATCAGTGATTGGATCGTTGAGGTTGAAAATGGTATGTTTGATCTGGCTGGTAATTGAATCATTGATTGATTAGTTAATTAAAACATTGATTGATTGGTTGATTAAATCATTGATAAAAGTAGAAATGATTGAAGCATTGATTGAAGTTAAAAATGATTAAATCATTGATTGAAGTTAAAAATGATAGTTTGAAATATTAAATAATTTATTAAAGTTTAACATGATTTATTAAAGTTTAACATGATTTATTAAAGTTTAACATGATTTATTAAAGTTTAACATGATTTATCAGGCTGGTGACTTGTTTGGTCAGATCTCTGATGCTGCCAAGGATATCTCTGCTGATCATATTAAGGCTAATTAATCAAATACAGTTCCAGCAGATGGTGGCTAATATCATCAATATCAAGTTTTGTTGAGGGTCATCTGACCTACTATTATTAATGTTTTGCACTGATACACCCTTTGCACTAGATGTTATGTATTGTATATCTTAGCCAACCCTTGAAACCTAAAGATCTTTTAGTTTGATTACTCGTAAGCTTGTGCCACTATTAAACTATTTAGTCAGAGAATATATATATATTTGCCCCCCCCCCCTCCCTTCTATCAGACTTAATATTATTGTTTTAAATTAAAATCGAACCAAAATCAGGTTAATTGCCAAAATATTGTGATGCCATCTAAATTCTTCCTTGATATATCTGTGATTTTCAATGATTAACAGGCGTACAACGCATTTTATTTCAAAGTTCAATAATCAAAACATATTTCAGATTGACACAGAATGACGCACTCAGATATTACGGAGGAGGGGACGAAGGAGAAACCAGTAAGTTTTCTTTCGGGGGATAAGTTCAAGACCCCCCCCCCTGCATACCCCTTATCGGAAATGAGTGAAATGATACTGGTATGCCCGAGTGTAGAATAGCGGTTGCCATAAATAATTTACCTTTCTCACTACTTTTTCCCAAAAAATATATTTAATTTCCTCTGCATGACAAGAAAAACAGGTTTCAGCGATAACACAAGTTTTTAATGTTTTTTGCACACAACTCTTTCTTACATCTGATGGAATCAAGTATTTTCAAGAAACCCCACTTTAACCCTGATTTTTAAGTTTCATAATTGGAATAAAGGAATAGTTAAATATTTGAAAGAAAATAAGCTAGGATGAGATAAAAATGGGAAAACATGTCAGATAAATTGGTTGAGAAGAATACAAAAATAAGAATTTTAAGAAAAAGAAAAAAGCGAAATATGGAAAAAAATTAAATTTTCGTAAAAGCATTTTTAGGAGGATATTTAAGATAAAATGATATTAAAGAAAAAATTTATATAAAGAATTGCATTTATTTTGTTTAAGGATGATATCCAGGCTGCACAGGCTGGGCCAGCTTCTACAGACCAAGTTATTCTCGCTACAGCAGGTACACCAGGGTTTAATTCAAGGTGTTTATGTTCTTGAAAGATAATCCACCTATTTTGAAAATAATTTTTCCTGCTGAAGTTAGGCATGTTTTTTTTTCAGGGCATTTTCTCCCTAAATTAAGAAAAATATATGATTTTTGTTGAAAATAAATAAAAATATGAAAGGAATGAATAAAATTTAAAAATATACCCCCTTAAATACCAATCTTAGGCCTTTAGATTTGTTTGTTGGTTTGTTTATATTTAAAATTCAAAAACATCAGAACGGCTCAACCAAATGCGTCAAAATTTTTGGTGGTATCTCTCATCATCCCACTGAAAGGTGTTCGAAACAGAAAAATTTGCAAGATGTTTTGTTTCGCAATATACAAAGAGAAAATAGTGACTTGAAAAGAAATATTCAAAAAGCTAAGAAATGATTGAGTTTTACTTGACTTTTGATTTTTATTATTATCATCGTAATTTGTTTTATATTGGCATCGTTATTGTTATCATTTTTACTGCAAGATACGATCAATGTTTTGGACAGCTCAAAGTGGGGTTATTATCATTTATCATTATTATTATCATGATTATCTTTATTATCATCATTTATTGTAGGTTACGATCATACCATCAAATTTTGGGCAGCTCACAGTGGTGTCTGTACTAGAACACATCAACACCCTGATAGTCAGGTATTTAACACTAAACTGGTTTATCTAGATATATACTTTGCTTGTACGTCTTGGTGTCCGTCTATTTGTTTGCCCGTTTGTATCCAAACTGCTGAAATGATTGGGCCCAAATTTTGTGTCTGACCTCATATGACCTCAGGGAAGGTTTACCGATGCCTAGAACTACTAAAAGTTTCCTGCAGAAAAAAAAATTCGCCAAATTTTACTTTCGGTTTAGTGAAGAGAAAATGCTAAAAAGAGTACTATTAAAAGTTAAAATAGAAGATGGGCGCGAAGCGCCATGATACCCTGGTGATATTTGTATTATATATTATCTAACTACTCTTTCCTGACGTTTCATCATTTATAAATGGGGGAAACCTAATATAAAGTGGAAATTTTTCAGTGTTGTCAAAAATGTTCAGGACAAAAAGAGAAAAGTCTTCTTCCTTTTTTCTGTCCTCTTCTCCTTTTCTCATTTTACCTTCCATTTTCCTGTGTGAGCCAAAACTAGCAGATCAAAAACAAATTCCCTATGTGTCCATTTTCCCCTGAAAACTGAAACTAAAAAATTTACACCCATGCCCTTTCCTTATGGACAGGAGTGTTCGGAGTTTTTTTTTCGAAGCCCTTTTATTTTGAAATGTATTTGTTAGGTGAACTGTTTGGAGATTACCCCTGATGGGAATATGCTTGCTGCTGGGGGTTACCAGCATATAAGGTTATTCATTTTTTAAATAGTCAAATTTCTGAAAAAAAATCTTTAAAAGTTTAAAAGATTTTTTGTTTATTGGTATTGCTCTCTGAAGATAGATCTGTAATGAGAAATATTTAAACAATATTTTTATTATTTTTACTTATTTTATGAACTCTGGACTGGATTTAAACTTAGTTAATTGATCCGTCAAATAATTGACTTTCTTGTAAAGGAAATTTCGTGGATTTTTCCAACAATCATAAAAGTTAAAATAAGAGTTTTCTACTCATATTATTTATTTTTGATTCCAAAAGTTTATACATCGAAACGTGATTTTTATTGTTATTGTTGTTATAAGTTCTCTTCTTGAGCTTAGTTCGATTGAAATATCATAAATTTTATCCCACCCCATTTGTTAGAGATCAAAATGTTAAAACCTATGGTAGCAATTTTTGTGAGCCTGTAATTTGTTAAAGATGTTCATGTAAAGCCATTGTTTATTTAGAAATGTAAGAAAATATAAATTTTACACTTACAGGGGTGTATATTTTGTATAATTATCCTCCCCCATCCCGGGGGGTTGTTGTTGTTTGAAAATCTTGGTAAAAAAATTCAAATTGGACTTCAAAGGGATAAGCTTTTCATTTTTTTCAACATTTTGGACTTCAAAGGGGTAAGCTTTTCATTTTTTCAACATTTTGGACTTCAAAGGGATAAGCTTTTCATTTTTTTCAACATTTTTCGTAGTAAATATATACTCGTGTACACTTATCAATGGAGAATTGTACGTTTAGAATGTATGATTTAACGTCTGGCAATCTCAACCCTATTGTAAATTATGATCAAGGAATTACTAAGAACGTTATGGCTGTAGGCTGCCAGGTATTGATTATTACTGGGTCCGGGGTTGCATAGTACATACTTTATTAGATTTTTTTCTTCCTCAAACAATCCTATTTGACAGCATCCAAATGTGTAAAAAATTAAATGAACAACTGTCAAAATTTATGACATGTGAATATGTCATTTGGGAAATTGTTCTGAGCCCGCGATTTAAAAAAATCGGGAAAATACGGCTCGGGTCTGAGCTGTCGTTGGGCCTTGTTTACGACTTGAGCTTTCGGATTCTAACTGCATTTTAATTGAGTTAAAAACCCGGTTTAATATTCTATTTGGCGGATTTTCCTGGTAGGAATTGACGCATTCCGGATTTTTATGAGAACAATACTCAACATTAAGCCTTATGTTCCACTAACACCAACAAAGGTCGGTTTTATTTTCACTGGGCCTTACCCCATAAGTCGAGCCGAAGATCTCGCGGTTGTCAATCACATGACACAAGCTGTCGTCAGAGTTGGGTCGAAGATTGGGGTTTAAAGTCGGGTTTAAGGAATTACGGCTCAAGCCAAAGTTTTAAATCGCGGTCTCAGGAAAAGTTGATTATTTTGCAAACAATTTTAAAATATGAGAACTTTTCTTCACATAGGGAAATTTGATGGAAAATGGATGATGGGAAATAGATTGCTCTGCTAGAATATGGGATCCTAAGATATCTATGATATATATATTACTAGCTGAAGTGCTCAACGTTGCCCGTGGAATAAAAAAATTTTTTCTTGCCTGATTTATTAGATCCATAATCTACCAGATTCTTAATTCAACATAGAACTGGGATGTATATGTATTGCAGTAACCCGTCCATAGGCTGATGATGAAGAAGTCTTCTAAGGCCAACTACGAAAGTAGAACCTAACCACATAATTTATAATAAAAAAAAGTTTAAATATATTAGCCTAGTTACTCCAAGCTTATGGGTTCCCTCAAAAAGTTTCAGCCCATTCGGGCCAGCCGTTTGGCCGGCTATTAGAAACATATGTATATACGAATGGGTTGATCTATTATATAGATATACTGTGGTAGGCGATTATATCAATACAATGAAAACGACTTTTTAAACTAAGTTTTGATTAACAAGCTTTTTTGAATTACAAGTTTACAAGTAATCAAAGAGAAGCTTTTTGATTGGCATTTTCTTGACTTCTATGTTTATGTGTGTCCATGCTGGTTAACAGCTTGATATAAATCGAAATTGAAATCGAAAGTCGTCTTCATTGTATTGATATAATCGCCTACACCACTGTATATTATTTATATAATATATATTTACGGTGGTCAGCATATATATATGAATGAAGTATCACGTACTAAAATTGTATTTTATCACCATTTCAGTAACCGACACTGTATTGATGAATACGCTGACCAACGCATTATATATATGTATTGTAAATATATATACAGGATGATGGGAAGTGGATGTATACAGGAGGGGAAGATTGCTCTGCTAGAATATGGGATCTAAAAATGAGAAATTTATCTTGTCAAAGGATATTTCAAGTAAGCCTATATATTTTTGGCCTACTTTTATCGTGAAACTTTATCAAAAACCAGCGCTTAGGATCCATTTAATTTTGATGCGGATCCGGATCCTGGATCTGCACTGGTAAAAAATGGATCCGGATCCAGGATTTACTGAATTGTTTTAACAAAAAATAATTTTCAAATTTTTTGTTTTATATTTTTTGCTTATTTTTATCCTAAAACCATTCAGAAATGAGGAAATTTTTATAATCTCCCTTTTTTCAAAAGTTCAGATTTGGGTTTTAGGAGTAAAAAAATTTTTTTTGGCTGTTTTTGGTTAATATTTTACTGGTTCCGTGGATCCGCATATTTTTAGGGATCAGGATCCAGGAAGGCAAAATCTTGCGTATCCAACGGATCCGGATCCTGATCCTAAGCACTGTCAAAAACATTATTGATCATCAAGACTATATATTGTTAATCAATTCATTAATTTTAGGCAAACGCCCCGGTTAATTCTGTTTGTTTGCATCCAAATCAGCAGGTAGAACCTTGGTTTGAAATTAACATAGCTTATGCAAATACTTTGAAGAGGGTGCTAGTGACAATTGATATAGAAAAGCATGAACCCACAGTGGTAAAGGGACTGTAAACGTAATTTCAAGTAACATTTGTGCTGCATGTCCTATTCACGACGGTACAATGAAAAACTGTCTTGAGTAAGAATTAGATATGCAATATTTTTTATGCAATATTTTTTTCTGAAACCCTGTTATTTTCATTTGTGGCTCTCTGCAATAATAACATGCGCATTTCTTGCCTCAGAAATAATTGAGAAATTATCAGAAAAACAATCCACATTATTGAACAGATTTGATTCTGATTGATGCGTACTCAAAACTGATCAGAAAACGAAATTGTGCGCATTTAGATAAAATTATTTTATTTCAGGAATTGATAGTAGGAGATCAAGCTGGAGTTATACACAGGAAATACATTTTATAGATGCTGCAATTTTTCATTTAATTTTCACGAAGGATAAGACAGTTATGACGTTCTGACACTCCAGTAATGCCACAATCCGTAGGTCGGATTTCCTCTTCTGCCTTAGAACAGTCTTTTACGAATAAACAAACGAGGGTTGGATATTTTCTTTAACATTTTTTTTCTGTGTTAATTTAGAGATTTATTCGATGAATTGGGGAAAAAAATTATTTTCAGGGTAAATACTAAATTTTTGGGCAAAACGTATGGAAAAAGATTTTTTTCCCAGATCTTCAAAAAATTTCTGAAGATGAATTATTTTTCTTTCCTACGTGATAAATGATGTATCCTGGATCTAGATGGAATCTGAAGAATGATCAGAGTGAACAATTAATCCCTGAACCCGGAACAGCTATTCAACATATAGATATTGATCCTGTAGGACAATATATGGCGGTGGTAAATAGTAAGGTATTTATTTTATTTCCTTTTAAGATCAAAACCATCCCTAAAATTCTTTCACCCCACTTTTTAAAAACTTCTCCTATTTAATCTATAAGTATTGGTTTCTTTATCATTTTTTATTCAAATCCTTATTTTATGACCAAGTGACTTCTTGACTTATTGACTTCTTGTGACGTCAAAGCTAAAAAAAAAAACGAAAAAAAATGATCGAACCATTGATGTGCAAACCTTAGACTTCATCTTTTACCATTTGGTCTAGGAGAATTACTACGTTGAATTATCAAGGGTCTACTACATTAGGATTAAATGAAAAATGAGAAGTTATGGAATTAACTAAGTATGAAGTAGTAGTTTAGATTCCAATTCCTTATTTAACTACTTCTCCCTATTCATTAAATCCAACCTTGGTTGCAAAGACGTAAGAATTTGAAAATTTTGATTAGCATTTAAAAATTATAAATAGTTTTAATTCAGGGTAAATGTTATATTTGGAGTTTAAGTACTGGAGAAGATAATACACAACTCCTTCCTAAAATACAAATTCCTGCACATGATAAATATGCACTCTGTTGCAAATTCAGTCCGGATTCTAGGTCAGTATTTACAAGGCACACTCCTTATTATAGTAACACCTATAGAAACACCTGGAGCATTGATTCTGCTCGGTAGTTGAACTAACTGTACTGGGTTTGGACTCAGTTGTCTTAGGTTTACCAATTGCTCTATATCTCCAGTGGTCCTCTCAACAGGACCAGCTCGAGCATCTAGTGCATCTTCAGACATCTCTTTATCCGCATTCATAATGAAACTTTAAAAAATCGGATTTTTTTTTGTTCAGATCGAAGGAAATTTTCAAAAAAAAAATTCATATTAACATTATTGAATTTCTACCGGCTTTAAACCTTCCCGGGGGTTCAGGAAGAGGAAAAAAGCCTGCTCGGGGGGAGAAAGGCCTGCCACTTAGTTCGAAACTTTAAAACACATTAATCTAAGGGCAATGATTTCGAGGTGGCTCGGACGAGAGCATGGGGAGAATGTGGCTCGGACGAGAAATTGTTGTAGCTGGCCTTCCTCCCCTTGTTTAACCGCATTCACATTTAATCGACAAGAAAATATATGAATATTCTCTAGGCTTTTATCTTCAATTTCAATTGTGAACATTTTCTCTTTGTATACATTGTAAGTCAAAAACAAACAAAAAATCGTGGATTTTCTAAATTTTATGAAAATATATATAGAACATAGATATTAGCCTAGTTCCATGCAAAAAAATGCGAAATAAGAAGTTTGGATTTTTTCAAAGATATTAGATATTCAATATTCATAAGCTTTAACCTTTTTTTCTCTTAAATTCCATTTATCCCTGTAACATCATTGTTTCTTACGAGTTTAACCATCAGCCTTAAAATCAATCAATCAATCAAAACCTTTCGAATTTATTTTGGGGAAAAACTTTAAGGGGGAGGAAATGATATTGGTAGGATCACTTAAATATGTCAGCCATTTGAAACTAAGAGAGTTTATAATTTTTTTCTTCAGTTTGTTGGCGACTACTTCAGCAGATCAGACTTGTAAAATCTGGAGAACTTCAGATTTTAGTCTTCAGGAAGTTAATCCGGTTCACGAGCTTACTTGTGAAACACAGAGGTAAGGATTAATTAATCCGGTTCACGAGCTTACTTGTGAGACACAGAGGTAAGGATTAGTTAATCCGGTTCACGAGCTTACTTGCGAAACACAGAGGTAAGGATTAGTTGATCCGGTTCACGAGCTTACTTGTTAAACCCATAGGTGAGGATTAGGTAATCCGGTTCACGAGCTAACTTGTGAAACCCATAGGTGAGGAATATTTAATCTGGTTGATGGGCTTACTTGTGAAACCTAGAGGTAAGGATTATTTAATCCGGTTCACGAGCTTACTTTTGAATTCATAGGTAAGGATTATTTAAAATTCGGTGATAGTGATGGATCAAACCTCTGTAGAGTAAAAAAAGTAGATGTTAGTTCCATATTTATTGATTATTAAGGATTATTTAATCCGGTTCATGAGCTTACTTGTGAAACCCAGAGGTAAGGATTATTTAATCCGGGTTCACGAGCTTACTTGTGAAACCCAGAGGTAAGGATTAGTTAATCTGGTTCACGAGCTTACTTGTGAAACACAGAGGTAAGGATTAGTTAATCTGGTTCACGAGCTTACTTGTGAAATACAGAGGTAAGGATTAGTTAATCTGGTTCACGAGCTTACTTGTGAAACACAGAGGTAAGGATTAGTTAATCCGGTTCACGAGCTTACTTTTGAATTCAGAGGTATGGATTATTTAAAATTCGGTGATAGTAATGGATCAAACCTCTGTTGAGTAAAAAAAAAGTAGATGTTAGTTCCACATTTATTGATTATTAAGGATTATTTAATCCGGTTCATGAGCTTACTTGTGAAACTCAGAGGTAAGGATTAGTTAATCCGGGTTCACGAGCTTACTTGTGAAACACAGAGATAAGGATTATTTAATCCGGGTTCACGAGCTTACTTGTGAAACCCAGAGGTAAGGATTAGTTAATCTGGTTCACGAGCTTACTTGTGAAACACAGAGTTAAGGATTAGTTAATCCGGGTTCACGAGCTTGTGAAACCTAGAGGTAAGGATTATTTAATCCGGTTCATGAGCTTTTTTTGTGAAACCCAGGTAATTAAGTCAATCCGGTTCATGAGCATTCACACAATTAATATATTTATAAAAATGATTGTTTAGGTGGGTTTGGGATTGTTCTTTTACAGCAGACTCCGCCTATATTGTTACAGCCAGCAGTGACGGGGCCGCAAGGTATTTTCATTTCCTCTTTTTACCCCCCCCCTCTCTCCCCCCCGGGTTATATATTTTTTTCAATAAGAAAGAAAAGGTTTCGATTAACTAGGAGGAAAATCTAAATTTTGAACATCCTATTTTATGCTAGACTAGTTTGTGAACCCAGGTTCACCTGAATATCAAGTTAATCCTATAAAAGTCAGCCCGCTCAAGTTAATCCTATAAAAGTCAGCCCGCTTAAGCCAACATTTTTTATTTTTAAACCAAGCCAAGTACATTCCCGTTCATAATACACACCCCTGTACCTGCTTATTGTTCCATGTATGCAAAAAAACAAAACAAGGTTCATCAACTTGCAGGCGTTTGTTTAAACTTTTGTATAATGTATGCCTGTTTTGAAGATTATTTATTCAGGTTATGGAACACAAAATCAGGGGCATTGAAAAGAGAATATTTGGTAAGTTTAAAACTTAATTTCCCATCAATTTAATGATTTGTAATGTTCTTTTATTTAAAGGGACACCAGAAAGCTTTGACGAGTGTGGCTTTCCGAGATATCAGTCATGTGAAGTGAACAAACAAGGATCGGCAAATCTACAGATCACTGTGCTTACTGTTCTAAAAACAGATTTCCTACGCTAAATATTCCTCTAATGTAAATCAACCTGAGTATATTATAGGGTTCAAGAAAGAATTCACACATTGGACCTTCTGATCTGCCAATTTCAAATAAAAAAAAAACCTGATTATTTTGAAGGAACTCTTGATAATATCGGGGTAACTCTACTAAATATACTGACCATTTGACAAACCTGCCTATCAAAGCTGAGAGCTATTCAAGCATGGTATACATGTTAAATCCATTCTTGGTGTAATTTTTTCCATTTCCACATTTTAAATGTGCTTCAAATGTTGATTCCCATAGTTTGAGATTTTGAAATTTGATTTATTAAAAATTAATTAAAAAATAAAACTTAAGTTGAATGATTGATAGATCTCGTCTAAAAAAAGAACAAATTTTAAGAAAAATTTAATAAATCCAGAGCACAAAGATAATTTATTTATTTTGTAAATAGTATGTAATATTTAATATGTGTTTGCATTTATAAAATTTCTATTTTCAGAGAAGAATGTTCTCAGTCAGATCACGTATTTTCTCCCGTCTAGCCACCCTGGGTGGGAAAGCCCTTGTAGAGTCAGCTCCTAAGGTACGATAAATCATTAACTGCCTTTTGACCAACATTACTTACCCATCATTCCCCCTACAGCGGGATGTTAAGTTACTAAACTGTCCCTAGGGACAATTAAGTAAAATAATATCTGGGAAAAAACGCAGTTTCATTTGTAAAGACGAAAAAAATGTATATTACTAATTTTTTCGGGAAAATTTTTACTAAACCATGAATTCTCTCGACCAATATGGCAACTCTTTGTTAAGTAAAATTCTATAGAGTAGCTTATTAATGATTATTTCTTCTTAGGGCTGGACCAGGTTTTCTTTAATATCGAGTGTCTCATGAAAATGTGGCGTTTATGGTCTAATTTGATTGTATTCTTAGACTTGATTTGGGAGCTGCAGCTCATGGCTGCTAGCCCCGAAGGCGGTCTGGGCTTTCCAAGATGGAGGGGGGGGGGGGTCAGATCCTTAGCTAATCTTATTTTATATAATTAGCATAAGTTAGTATTCTAATTTAAGGTCGCAGCTGTCCGACTCCTCCACTTTGTCAATAGTAGTCAGGGTAAGCATTTTCCTGTTCAGCCTTATGGAATCGTCGTCATTTTTTCATGTATCCCTCCAATTTTAAAAAGAACTATCCCGATTCACAAGAGTTACCCTTTCAATCGTTATCTGATGGAGATATCAATGTTCTCTATCTCATAAATGATAATTTTCTTCTCCGGTTTCTCTAGAAATGATATGTATTTTTAAGGAAGAACATTCATTTCGAGTTTGACAATGTTTTCCATATTGTTACTATTGTTAATCCTTGAATGGAGCCTGGCCAGAAAGTCTTTTGAAATAACGTGCATAGTTCCCTTTTAGCAAGATTTTCTTCAGAACTCTTTCAAGAATTTACAAAAATGTTAATACAATTTTTGAAATTTTATTTTAATTAATTATTAACAAATTTGAAATTTAGGTTTGTTAATGAAACCCCAGCTGGAGCACCCAGCCTGGAGAGATTTCAGAATAGTTAGATTCAGCTCAACCCTAACACAGGTTTAGTAGATTCAGCTCAACTCTAACACATGTATAGTAGATTCAGCTCAACTCTAACACGTGTATAGTAGCTTCAGCTCAACTTTAACACGTGTATAGTAGATTCAGCTCAACTCTAACACAGGTAAAGTAGATTCAGCTCAACTCTAACACAGCCTCACAGGTATAGTACAGGGTGTCCCAAAAAACATGGGAATTCAGTGACGAATTCGATATCGTCTTTGCATGAATTAGCAGTGTAATACCTAATTTCAAAACCCATACTATTATTATGTCTGCTAGAGTTTATTTTACGAAAACGGTAAATGGCTGTAAAGGTGTGTCTATAATGTCTCCGCAAGATGAACAGTGAAGACGGACAAGTTTACTCTGTTTGTATACTGTAATTTTCTTGTTTTAATAATTACAACCGTATGCAGTCAAAACATAAACAAACAAAATGTAAACATAGCAGACGAAACTCTTACAGATTACACCTTTCTCAGTAGGTATCACTATACTAAATCAAAGAATTATTTATAAAGACTATAAAGAATTCGTCACGGAATTCCCATGTTTTTTGGGACACCCTGTAGATTCAGCTCAACTCTAACACAGGTACTGTATGAAAGGATTAATATTATTAAAAATAATTATTACCTTTTATTCCATTAGCAAAATCCTTAGCATCATTTCTGAAAGACGACATTGTGTCCATGATTTTCTGGTTCTCCTTGTATCTGACCTATACTAATTTTCAGTCTGAGATAGAGAGCCGAGTTCTTGCTGTGTGCAAAGCTTTTGATAAAATCAGCGCTGATAAGGTAAAATTATAAATAAAAGAAATTATTTTAAACAGAAAAAAAAATTTTAGTTTTGTGTTTCACCTTTCCTAATATTATTAATATGATGCAAAATTATGAAAATTGAAGAAATACATTCTACAATTGTATTTCATTTAGGTAACTTTGGCCGCACACTTTATAAATGACCTTGGTCTGGACAGTCTTGATCATGTGGAGGTCATTATGGCAATTGAGGATGAGTTTGGTTTTGAGGTGAGTTACTAGGAACCAGTGTTCATGATCCGGATCCGTGAAACGGTATAGCCAAAATATGTGAAAACGACAATTTTTTTACTATTATTACAAATGTTCATTTTGTAACTCCTCCTTTGATCTTTCAAAGGTCGTCAGTAGATTGAGTTTCAGCTTCAACAAGAATAGTAAATATTTCATAAATTACGCATCGAAGCAGGGGTGTATACATTTAAGAATTAAGGACCCGGGGGGAACGATTTTTGATGAAATAGGGAAAGGAATATAATTTATTAATAATTTAGATCCCTGACGAGCACGCTGAGAAACTGATCACTCCTGAGCATATTGTCAAATATGTTCTTGATCATGAGGATGCTTAGATCTACTCTTCAGAGAACTCGACACAAATTTTACATCCAGGGGTTTAGATCAGATATCCAGAGGGGGTTATATCCACATGATAAGGGGTGTAACTCTTCACTCCAGAGATATTTATTATTCACTCATGATAGGGAGTTGTATCCACTTGATAGTAGGTTATATCCACATAAGGGTTACACCCCACTGGCTAGTGGGTTTTATCCACTATGGATTATATCTATCTGGGTTTATACCCACTTTCTAGTAATTTTTTTTCAACTTTAATCCAGTATCCACTCTAATGAATCGGCTTAAATTAAATGTATTCGGGGCAATCTTGGGATTATGTAAAATTATGATGATTTTTGCACTTGGATCATTCTTTAAAGAAATAACTCCTTCTCCGTTTGAAAATGTACGGTATTGTAGTCTACAGATGGTTTGTTGTGTTAGAATAGAAATAAAAAATATAAACAAATTTTATTTCATCTGAAATTTTATTTTACAATACTTCTTGATTATTTATCATTGAATAATAAAAGACGGACTTTTTATGTATGTGGAATATATGTTTTTATTTTGAGAACTGATTCGGATACAAAGTAAGAGAAAAAATCACGCAGGGGTCATTATTTTGAATGAATTAAAAGTTTTTGTGGAACCGTTTAAAAGTCCAAAACCCTCAAAAACGAACCAAATTGATTAACAACCCTATTTTCAAATCGTCCTTGTCCTTTTAAACTATTTGTAAAATGAAACCTTTTGGTCAAAAAAACTTGTGAAGGGGCTCTTTGGCTTTCAAAATGTAAGCTACCAACTGTTTATTTTGAAAGAAAGGATATTAGAAATTTAGGCTATTTTGGTTCATACGTTTTATAACGTTTAAAAGTTTTATTTTACATTCAATAATATTTTTACAACGGAAGTAGGTAAAAGTTTTAAAATCCCAGTTTTGGAGCGAGTGTGATGCAAGGAAATCAAGATAGAAAAATGACAAGTCACAAAAAATGGATCTGGATCCAGGTCGTTTACTGACCTTTTTAACAAAAAATCATTTTAAATTTTTTTGTTGTTTTTTCGCTTATTTTTATCCTAAAACTTGATGAACCATTCAGAAGTGAGGAAATTTTTATAATCTCGCTTTTTTTCAAAAGCTCAGATGATCCGTGGATTCGCATATTTTTGCGGATCAGGATCTGGATCCAGGAAGCCAAAATCTTGCGGTTCCAACGGATCTGGATCCTAAGCACTGGTTTTGGTCATATGAATAATTAAGCAGTGAAAAAAATAAAATGGAAAATGTCTTAAAATATACTTACCGATGAAAGAACGTAGTCTAATTAAAATATCTAACCCTGGAACGAAAAAGACGACATTTTGGATTACCTTTGTTTCATGAGATATCAAGAGTTACTTATTTTATAGATATATTGTGGGCAGACGCTGAACTCCAACCTTCGAGTGTGCGAGGTGGGGAAGACTTTACTGCCGCGCTTAATTAAAAGCATGATTAAGGGGGAATGACATTTGTAGATCGAGATTGAATCCTAGCCGCAGCGCTCAGCCCATAAAGTGTCATAACTTAACCTAACCCGTGGCCGCAGCGCTCGGCCCAAAAAGTTTCTTCACCTAACCTAACCCTAAATAAAAGAAAGTGTCATAACTTAACCTAACCCGTGGCCGCAGCGCTCGGCCCAGAAATTGTCTTAACCTAACCTAACCCTACATAAAAGAAAGTATCATAACTTAACCTAACCTGTGGCCGCAGCGATCGGCCCCCTAGCCTGTCCTAGCCGCAGCGCTCGGCCCAGAAAGTGTCTTAACCTAACCTAACCCTAAATAAATACTAATTTAATTGAAAATTGTTGAAAAAGTGGTCATACAAAAGTAAAATCTGCAGGATCTGCAGTGAAGTCTTCCCCACCTCGCACACTCGAAGGTTGGAGTTCAGCGTCTGCCTATTTTGAGTGTCTGTCTGTCTGACTGTTAGTGTCCGATAAAAGACAAAACGGCTGATTCGATCAGTTTATTCAGGTCCTACAACTCACATCACCCAAGGAAGGTTATGGAAGGTTAAAGATAAAAATGTCGAAATTTATCATTTTTGAAAGTGCGTAAATTTAAATAGGAAAATCGCTATATTAAAAGTTACAAAATAAAATGTCGGCTTGAACAGCAAATAGTGGCCAATTTCTTAGACGTTCTACCAAAGATAGAACCATGGTCACACATGGTTACGCTTTACCATAGCAGTGAAGATAGATAGATACGACATTTAGTTGTACCTATGTTGTACAACATGAAAAAGAAATTGGCCATAGGTCAACACTAGAAAAGAGGCACAAGCAAGGTAGATTTTCTTTAAAGCATTGTTCTAGCTATAATATCAACAGTGTTTCTTTAAAGCATTGTTCTTGCTATAATATCAACAGTTATGACAGGTTTCTTTAAAGCATTGTTCTAGCTATAATATCAACAGTTATGACAGGTTTCTTTAAAGCATTGTTCTAGCTATAATACCGACAGTTATGACTGGTTTCTTTTAAAAAAACGCGTTATGAACAGCTTCTGAGTTGCCAAGATTGTTTTACCAAAACAACAATCTACGCGTAAATCCTCTTTTTTTTGGCGTCTTGAGTTTTAAGATGGGTAAATGAGATTTCTTTTAGGAAGGGGGAAGTGAATGTGTGAAATCTTATATAAATGCTGCAGTTAGCGAGGGAGGGAAGGCCAAGCAGCCATGAACCCCGTGGAAAAGTCTCCGAAACCCTGAAGAAACAGTCTCCGAACCCCGTGGAAAATCTCCGAACCTGGAAAACAAAATTTGGAGAAAAAGACAATTAAAACAATAATGAAAATTATTTCTTTAACTTGATTATTATATTTATTAAGTCCATATGTCGAGAAGATTGGAAAATTATTGCTAATTTACAAGTAATATTTATATTTGATAACGTTTTTTTCAAAAAACCTCCTCCATGGGGTTCGGAGACTCTCCACGGGGTTCGGAGACCATTCCACAGGGTTCGGAGATTTTCCACGGGGTTCATGGCTTCTTGGCCTTCCCTCCCTAAGTTAGCTCTCCACGCAATTTCAAGTTATCCTTTATTGTAAAGTGCTCTGAACCCTTTAAATTTTTGTTTGAGAAAAAATGAACTATGTAACCTGTTTTTCTTGAGCTCAAAATTACAAATTTTTAATTGCGCTTCGTTCTTAATGTGAATTACGGATTTGTGCATCTAAGACAACGAAAGAAATTGATAAAAGAGACTAAATTCTTCTTGTAAATTAAGGCCCACAGTGTAACCAGGCCCGTAGCCAGGGGGGGGTGCAAGGGTGCAGGTGCACCCCCCTTTCTTCTGAAAGAGGGGTGCAATGACGAATTTGCACCCCCCCCCCCCTAGTCCCATATAAAAGAAATTGTTTCTAACATTCGTTTAAAAAATTCATTACTTTTACTTGTGGTGACTCTCTGAAAGTGACTTCGGGATTCCAACTGCAAAGACGTTGGAGAAAATTGTCAAACTTGAACACACACTTTCCAAGGTAGAAAAAAATATATCCTATGGAACAGAAGATTTTCAAGGGTATCTTTGTGAATCTGGAAGCTCTTCTTTAAATGGTGGGTCACTTGAAATTACAATAACAGTACATTAAAAGAAAATAACAAGGACAAATGTGTAGTTTTTTAAATAAAAATTTTTTGTTTAAAAGCTAAAAGTTGATAAGGAAAAATATCCTAACCTCCCCCCGCACTTTAAAAAGACCCCCCTGGCCCCCTTTTAAAGAAAAATAACACACACTATAGACATCACACACATCAGACATTGAGATGAACACACACAATGGAGGAATTAATCAGTAATCCATCAGTATAGAGTTCCAGGCCGTATATACATACATTTTTTAGCTGTTCACCTTTTTTAGGACCCCCCCCCACACACACGCCCCCCAATCAAACAAAACATCACGGTTTTATGTTTGCTTAATTTTTTTAAGGGCAGACCCTTCCCGAGCCCGATATACTTATATAGCCCGCTAGTAAAGGGGGTTAAAGGGGGGCTTTATAAAGAGTTTATGAAAGGTGGGGGAGGGGGGCTGCTTGAAACGGGGAGGGGAAGGGGGGGGGGTACTTGATCCACAAGGCGAATGGGAATATAGGTGAATACCTATTGTTTGAACTTTCAACAAAAGAAAGAGAGGGGGGAGGCTTGAAAAGGGAGTATAGAAAGGAGGGGGGGGGGGGAGCATAGAATGATTTGAAGAGTTTTTTTCTTCTACTATAACATCAAGAGAGAGGATTGTTCCATGCACAAAAGAGATAAAACTGAAAGATAAAATAAAACCACACATTTTGCCACATTTTTTAGTTATTTTATATATTTGTTGTACAAACGAAAGAAATTTGGAAAAAATACTAATTAACTGTGAAAAATCCATCTAACTTTTTAATTGCTTATTTACACATTTTAACGCAGTATAACAAATAACAACTTACAGAATTTGTTTAAAAGGGAAAAGACAAGTGAATTCGTAATTCATTTTTTAAAACTGCCCTAGGCCTGGAAGATGATGACTGAAATAATTAACGAATATATATTTCTCAACGAGGTTAGCGATGTTTCTCCAATTATGTTAATTTTGCAAGAATCCACGGACCATTTAACACCAACAGAATTCATAACAATTATAATAAGTTTTCCACCGTCTTTTCTTTGCCAATAACCTAATTTGTTCAAATTTTAACTTTCTTTGGTCATTACGTTCGGACTTTGGTTTTTCCGGTTTCATGGTATATACGCACAGAGTAGAGATGAAATATAGAGCGGAAATAAACCTTGGTATATACGCACAGAGTAGAGATGAAATATAGAGCGGAAATAAACCTTGGTAGATACGCACAGAGTAGAGATGAAATATAGAGCGGAAATAAACCTTGGTAGATACACACAGAGAAGAGTTAACATATAGAGCGGAAATAAACCTTGGTAGATACACACAGAGTAGAGGTGAATTATAGAGCGGAAATAAACCTTGGTACGTATGCCCATAAAAACTGTAAGTAGTAATAGTTTAATAATTTTTTTAGTTGAAAGTGTGCATTTCGTATTTTTAAAAATTGCACCGGGTTTTGTTAACTTGGATGTAGATTGTCGGACAATTTTTTCTCCTTCAAGTTGAACATACATAAAAAGTACCTTTTCTAAGTAAATGTTGGAATAAAACGAAGGGTTTACATTTTTTGGGATTATTCCTCTCTACTTTATATTACTATTCTATGTCCATGTGATTCCTTAAATACAGGGGCAGTTTCTTAGATAGGGGAGGGGAAACTTAGGAGACTAGAATTTTAGCAAAATGATATATTTTACGGAGTCTGGAATTTCCGTTCCTGTAAAATAGTGAATTCTTATTCTGAACATCACCTCAATGTTTTCAAAAATTTTCACCTTTGTCTTAAAACCATGGATTTCACTATATATATTCC